CCTGCTGCAACATTTCAAGTCACCCCAACTTAGCACTAGTTGGCCCAATTTCTGCTTCATTTGCTTTCCCTTCCATTGTCACTCCAGCACCTCTTTTACTTTTTTTAGGTATCTCTAAATTAACCAGCAAGTCATGAAAAATTATTGATTTATTTTATTGCCACAGGGCCAGCATTTCACCTTATAATCATTTCACATTTCCTCTGTTTTCACTGTGGAACAGCCTCATGGTAGATCACACATTAATGGCAAAAGTCCTCAGGCACTACCTTACTATTATGAAGTGCACTTTTATGCATATTGTTTTTTTGATGCAGCAAATACTGTAACCTCTCCCCTTCCCTTGCATATTGTGGAGTAGCTGGTCTCTAACTCCCAGTGCCTTCACTGGTGCATTATATAAAGGCCTTCAGGTGCCTTTCTCAACAGATTCCCCAGGTGTGATTCAGCATTGCTTTGAAAAGGGAAGTTTCCAAATCAAAGTTTAAAGGACACACAGCTGAAAGCCTAAGAAGCAGGAGGCATTAGGAGGCTTACAAATCTTATTTCTTCCTTAATGCAAATGTTACATAGAGGCACTGGGTTGAAAAATGCAGTGGCTGATGTATTAAATACCTGAGGACAACCAAGTACAAATTGATTATGAACCTCAGAGTGTGCACAACAGAACCAATACGTGTGAAAAGCACATAATACCGAGCTTAAACTGTATTTTTAGATATCATGAAAACACAGGGGAATTCTGCTCCTCATTCTGACAATTATCACTCCCTACAAACAAGGAACATCTGTTTAATTCAGAAAAGACTACTTCTGGCCCCATTTTGAGACCCAGTCAAGCACTGCTCTGATCAGATTTGCAAGGTCTACATAACCTTAGCAGCTAAGTCCCATTATCAAAAGCTACTTAGGAGCAATTCTGAAATACATGTGATACTATAACATGCTTTTGGAAGTCAGACGAGGTAGATAATTCTATTAATATGGACTCCGATCACATTTGAAAAACAGGACTTTACACCAGCTAGCTCTAATAAATGGTAAGATATAAACACCCTTTTTCACAGCCCTGGGGCTTTCTCTCCGAAAGCTTAAACCACTGTGAGTCAACAGTGACACTGTTAGAGAATTCAATTACAACGTTTCCCTCTGTTACAAATGGTGATGACTGAAGGGTAGCAAAGAACTTTGCTACAGTTCTTGTAGATGAAAAGACCTAAACAACCATTAGAGTCAACCCCCACACCTGGAGATAGCAGCACTTGGAGTGATGGGACAAGTGGATGGTCCAAACTGGGAAAACAAGGCCTACTGACCTCTACAGCAGTGGGCAACCCTGGCCACTTGCCCTAAAGGGTTCTGTGGATGCTTAACAACCATTAGAGTCAACCCTCACACCTGTAGACAGCAGCACTCAGGGTGATGGGACAAGTGGATGGTCCAAACTGGGAAAACAAGGCCTACTGCCCTCCACCACCATGGGCAACCCTGGCCACTTGCCCACAAGGGCTCTGTGGCTGTTAGTTTTCAGCAGATCAACCTTTTGGCTTTGACCTGGGTGATGACAACAAAACTCACCCCGCAACACACTACGAGCTCCCACGCCCACCTCCTGCCGCCAACGCCAAGCCCACCACCTCCTCCTCACCTTCCAGCAGCTCATCCAGGCTGGTGAGCTTCTTGCTGCCGTCGATGGTGTAGATAGTGCGCACACCTTGGGGCAGGTTGACATTGTCCGACAGCGACCGCGTGAGCTCCACCAGCAGCGCGTCGAAGGAGCGGAATCGATCGGGGGAGATGGCATACACCAAGCCCTTGAAGTACCTGTCCCCGTTGCGGTAGAAGCGAGCCTTGCGAGCCTTCTTCTCGGAGCTGAGCGCCTGCAGGGTCCGCGTGCGGTACAGGCTGCAGTGCGCGCTGTGCGCGGGGCTGGGGATCAGCCCATTG